TTCAAATGTAGTTTAAAACTAGTTAAATGTGTAAATATTAATTTAATGCATTCTTTACATAATAAACACATAAATGAATAACTTAAATTTTTTTACTTTAAGGGTTATATAACTTGTAGATATTATTTTAATTTCAATTTTATGTAAAAAATCAAATTGGATAGTAAAATGATAAAATGTGTAAGTTTAAAATCATCGGAATCAAGCAATCCATCGGCCCAAAACAATCTAAAAGCAACCCACCAATCCCAACAGGGAGCTGACGGATGGAGGTTCACCATAAGTCACAAGTAAATGGAATACTTACGTAGCAGAATCCTACTAACTAAAAGCACTTGTTTAAGGTTTCTAAGGTCATCCACATCAGCATTTTCATCTTCTTTTACAAAGTGACACGTAAACCTATATCTTCAATTATAAAAACTAAGAGAAGTAAATAATAAGTTTATAGCGATAACTTAATTAATGAAAACTAAGAAACGAATCTGTGGAAAATTTGCTTTGTTATAATATGTTTTCATAGCACATTTTTGTTAATGTATAGCAAAATTTCAAAACTAAAATTATTAGTTGTTGAATATGGTGCAATCGGCATTGATATCACACTATAATGAAATCTAACTTTAGAATCCAATACACTGACATATTATGATATGAAAAAACCAAAGTATAAGAAATACAGTACATAAAGATAGTAAATCATATAATGGGATAACAGTGGTTACAATAACATGTTGAATTTATTTATTAAAAATTCAAAAAACAAAAAATTCAAGCAAAAATCAAGCAAATACTTGGCAAATTCAAGTAAAATTTAACTAAATTAATTAATCATAAGAACTTTTATTAAAAGTTTAGTTTGTTTTGTCATTGATGATCACATCAATAAGTTTTTTCAAATGTTTGCTCACGTGAAATTTTTTTTATGATGTCTCTTTCAGTTTCAATTTGAAGATTTTTTTTCTTTTCTTTTTTGAAATAAGACATCGCTCAACAGTATTTTATACAAAAGAAACGTGAGTACTACATTTGAAGAATGAAGCAAATGAAGTTTGCTGGCGAAAAGAAGAAAATCAAATGAAAAAAGTGTATTTACCTATTGTTTTCACATTCATGCGTCGTCGAACCAGAAAACTTAGATTTTTAGTAGATTTAATATTAGAAACTTCATATATGAACTTAAAAAGTACTTAAAGATAAAAAAAAATTATGTAGTCTAATAAGAGCACATAATATATTGAACCTCTAAATGTATTTATTTTCGTTACACACATTCTAAGCGTAGACATCAAAAGAAGTTTTTACTACATATATAACACATTTACATATATGATCTATGTTACATTCCTCCAACTATTTTGCCTGCTTTTGCTTGTTTCTTTACAGACAAAACAAGAGAACATTCCCAATGTTTCCACTTAACTACTTGTACATGGATTGACCTCAAAATTTGTTCTTTACATTGGCTTTGGTTGTGAAGCAAATGAGAGCAAGGGCTGGATTAGTCTATGATGAGATGGACTAACAAGAAACATGGACTGTGACCGACGCAGCATCTCAGCCATTGATGGAGTCTGATAAACCTGGTAAAAGCTCGAACCGTCCCTTGAATTCCTCCTTGAGGTTGCTCTTTGCCATGAGTGTGAGCTAAGTCCAGAAAGAATATAAGCTCTTCCCGATGCCTCGTACACGTTACTACTCCTCATTCTATCTTGCATTTCCTTCAGCTCCAAGTCCAAAGCAACACAAAACCTATCACAGGATTTTGCTGCAACCGTCTGTGCCAAAACCAATCTAAAATTCTCAATCGCTGTAACGGCTCCCTCTAACTCTCCATGCTCTGCTAAAGTTCTTGCTTGTGCCATTGCCTCTGCAGCTAGGAATCTGTTTCTTTGCCTGTCCACTTCAATGGGAACAACTTCTTCTTCACAAACATTTTCTGGTCTTCGAATCTGAAGCACTCGACTTTCAAGCGTTGTAATTTGCTTTGTCAAAGGATCTATGTAGACACATCTCAGCTTTAGCAACGGTGTATGTCCATCTTCCTCGACAGGGATATTGATAGAAACCAAGAAATCCCTCTCTTCATCAGCATAAAGATCACCAAGATCAACAAATCCTGAGTGGCCATCACCAGTTACAAGGCTAGAGTAACTCCCTGCTTTTATCGAGCCAAGTCGAACATTTGGGCACACGCCTTCAATATCTACTCGAAGCTCCTGTACTGCAACGCTTAAAAGTCCACCAATGCACTGAGCAAGAGCATCTTGAATCACAGACTCACTTTCAATGAAAGAAAAGGTCCCACTAGAGAATTCAGAGACTGAGTGCATCACTGAAGCATCATGATCTGATCCAAAACCAAAAGAGTGAACAGGGATCTGAGGGATCATCACCCTGCAACTTGGATCATCAGGATGGTTCACGGTATAAGTATCTCGCCCGTCAGACAAAAGGATAATGCTGGCAACAGAATTACTCTCTCTTCTATCTTCCATAACCTTAGCACCTTTTCTAAGACCATCGACGATATTGGTCCCACCATTTGCAACCAATGAGTTAACAGCTTGAAGTGCTAGCTGTCTTCCAGAACCAGACATTCGGGTTAAAGGGAAGAGACGACGAGCTGTTGAAGAGAATGCAATGACTGAGAGCCTATCACTGGATCCAAGATTTTGAATAACAAAACCCATTGCTCGTTTCAGAAGTGCGAGCTTAGTTCCTCCCATACTACCACTGATGTCTAGGACTGTAACTAAATCAACTGGCGCTCGGTGATATTGAGAAATGTGATTACCAGTAACCGCTTTGAGATGCACTAATACATCAAAATTCTCACAGGACTTGGATTGTGATACAGCTGAGACCTCTGGATACATTTTCATGTCCATCATTCCCACAGAATTATGGTTCTCCTTCTCCAAAGCATTAGTTTCACCGGTAAAAACAATCTGCTTCTCTAACCGTTCATCATCATCGAAAATAGCTGGCTCAGGATGCCCTTGGTTTATAGCTCGATGAGAAGGAGGTAAGCGGCGAACGAGGCTGATGGCTTCATCGTTATTGGACCGAACCAAAGGAGAATAAGGAAGATCCAAACTCGGCTTCTGTATAGGTATTTCCTTCCATTTTGCTCGGCACACAGGGCAAACTTGGTTACCGTGTTTCACATTCGAAGCAATGCAATGAAAATGAAACGCGTGTGAGCACTCAGCTGTGAAAATCGCATGTCCAAAACCTTCTTTCATCTTAGTCAAGCATATAGAGCAAGTCTGCTGTTTAAGAGAGTAGGAAAAAAAGAAACAAAGATACAGAATTGTGAGTCAATAAGCTCATCACAAGAAGACAAAGAAATCCATGGACTTGTCACATGAGACCAAATGCTATTTAAAGAAACATATCTACCCAATTTTTTTTTTAAAAGAAACTCACTACAAGATTCCTTTAGAGAAGAAGTATTCTCTTATTAGCAATATAAATCTTCTTCACTGAAACAAAACTAGAACTTACAAATAGACACAATCCTCTTCTTTGTAACAACTAAATACACACAATAGGGCTGAAAGATCTAAGCTTTATTTTAACCATATTTCCAAATTCACATAGCAAAACAGGACAAGACTTATCCAGAGACAGAAGAAATACACAAATATAAACCAGAATTTCGGAACCAACATGGAAAGCTACACAAAGACTAAAACAACCAAAACTAAGAAGAAGAAACCACATGAACAACAAAGTCAAGTCATTTTTTAGTTCTCAGAGACCAACAGTAGCAAACTTTCCCACAATTAAAGAGATTTGAGAATCTGAGCATGATGAAAAAACAAACCTTTGACGATTTGCTGCTATTTCTGGACAAGTTTCTACTTCGAGAAGAAGTAGTTGTTGGAGTCATCGGCCAGTTTAAAGGAGAGAGCAAAGCAGCATCTGATAATCTCTCTGAAGAATTCAAAGTAGGTTCCTCGAGGGTTCTTGGGAGGTAATTACAGAGATTCAAACTCAGAGCTAGCTTCATCTTCCTCCATTTGCTCACCATTGTTTTAGGAATATGAGTAGCTAGAAACAGAGGAATCGAAAGGAGAGAAATTTCAGGGAGAGGTTTGAAGTGTTTTGTTATGGAAGTGTTGTTGGTGACGTCTATGATGAGTGAGAGAGAAAGGATTCTTGACTTTTTTTGAGACTTGAGACGATTTTGACATTTGGTTACTTTTTTGGGTCTTGTAAAAAGGATTTAATTAAATAATCTAAAAGCCATTAG